CGAGTGTCAAAATAGTCAACGGCTGAAACGATTTGCTCTCAATTGTTGATAGATAAACTTTTTGGTATTTCTCAATGGAGAACGTTTTCTTTTTTATTCGATGTATTCCTAACACGCCTTTTGGCATTTCTTCTGCGTCGATTCTAAATTATTTATTATTGTTTTGCTGTTGAATTTGAGCACATCTGAAAATGTGCTTTATCGCCTAGACTTTTGCATCGTTAATTCAATTCGAAGATACTTTTCACTTCCCAGCTGACCTTCGTTCTATCGTTTATTTGTTTTTCTTTTCGTAATCGTTTATTTCAGTTTATTTACTTGGGCGGAAATGCATTTACTCTGACTGTGCACTCAAATGCGAATGAGAACTCGACCTCCGTCCCCTCATTGACACGCAGTCGCCCTTGCTATTCACTTTTATCGCTCCCACATTAAATATTCATGGTTGTTAAACTAAGACACGGCTGATTCCTAATTGGCGTTAAGTATACGCAAGGGTAGATGCCTAGTTCCATGTTATAGCCTTGTAGATTTGCTCGTTGTTTTGGGTCAGTCGACACTATCAACATGTGGAAAGTGCTTGGTCTTTTGCTTGGCTTGGTCATCTGCTCGAGCTCGGAACTCCAAAGTACCAAAGATATGGCAGCAAAAAGTTGTCGAATTGCCAGAACTGAAGCAGCGCAAATCACCTACATCTACCGCTGCGTTACCTGCGTTGCTACTAGTTCTGTTTCCTATTTGGAGTTGGAGCAGGATCTGCAYCTTTGCATTGGAGCTCAGTTGCCCAGTTGCATGCGAAGCCTGGAGGCTCATGAAGTTGAACCGATTCGAGAGACAAATAGCATGAATATATTCCTGATTCCTGCAGGCGACGGAGGTCAACCTCTGGTCCGTCGTATCGTGGACATGCTGAATCCTCGACAGCAACGCCGACATTTCCATAAATATCTGTTCGTGTGGCCCGAGGCAAGTGAGGATCAGCTAAGAGAACTATTCGAAGGCTGTTGGAGTAAGCAGTTGCTCTTTGGTTTGGCCATTACCGGACCAGAGACTGTCTATGATTTCCAACCGTTTGGTGAACAAGGCTTGCAGCTGAGAAAGTTGATCTCCGGATCTGATGTCTACTACGTTGATAAGTTGAAAAATTTGAACGGATTTGAGCTGCGCTTCTCAATGTTCGTAAGTCCGCTGCGGGCACTACCTTTGGAACCAGTTGAGAGCAAGGGTTATCAGGCAATTGATGGGAACGTTGCCCGATTTATAGCAAAAAAACTAAATGCTACGGCCCGGTATGTTACGCCTAGTGATAATGACTCCTATGGACGTTGCTTGCCCAATGGGAGCTTTACAGGTGTCGTTAGGGATATAATAAATGGTGAAACTCATATTGGAATGAACTTTCGATTAATAAGGCCGTGTTTCTTATCTCGTGCGGAGTACATGTATCCTTACACCCGACTGAAAATCGTTTTGGTGGTGCCTGCAGCGGGAATGCAGCCGGAGTTCCGGATCTTTGTCACTGCCTTTCAGAGGTCCGTGTGGCATCTACTACTCGCTAGCTTCCTGGCAGTTCTTCTGATCAATGTTGTATTACAGTGGTTTTTGGAGAGAATTGTAGGAGAGCCACGTTGCCGTTGGTACGACGTTTTTGAAATGCTTTTCAAAACACATTTAGGCCAACCTGTGGATCATTTTACGAGAATTAGCTCCCTACGGATGTCTCTCATCGGATGGATCCTATTCAGCTATGTGTTGACGACGATATACTTTGGCAAGCTGGAAAGTACTTTTGTCCAGTCAAGTTTTGAGGAGGAGATAGATACGGTGGATCAGTTTTTGCCACTTGGTTTACAAGTACACGGTATCAATTCTTTGCTAGACGCTGCGCGCCGCTCACTACCGGAACGTCAATATAATCAGCTAATAGCAGTCGCAAAAATACATCCCATTAATGACAGCGAGAACTTCTATGTGCTAAAAGTAAGCCGGCAGAACAAGAGAACAGCCTTTGTTATACGCAGTGATATAGCCAAAGAATTCGTGGCACGCACCTTTAACTCTGAGGTGGGACGTCCCAGTTATCATATTGTCAAGCAGTATCTGAGATCACTACCGGGCGCCTATATCCTACCGATGGGCTCCCCGTTTCGTTACAAGTTTCAGAATATTTTAAGCACTCTCCATGAGCACGGTGTCTTAGAGCATTGGAGGCGCATGGATATTCTGCAAAAGAGCCGGACTTCAGGTCAATCCGACGATGACCAAACGGACACAGAAGATGCTGCAGATGAGTTGGAGTGGAGCAAGAAACATGTAGTTCTCACTTTAGGAATTCTTCAGGGTTCGTTTTATTTGTTGATTATAGGTCACCTTCTAAGTGTCTTAGTTTTTTTCATAGAACGAGGATATTTTCAGTGGCATCGTCCAGTAAACATGGTTTAGTTTAAGATGTGCATCTTAAGAATATTCTTTCTTCTAGTGTTGAGCAATGTCCAATCTAATGTGAAATAAATAAGTGTGAATTAAAATGTGTCTCAGCATACGAAAACTGTTCGAAACCTGTCGAGGTTAGTAACAAACTTATATTTATCTGTCCTAATAGAATAACAAAATAATGATATTATTTAACAAAAGGGGTAAACATTGTATAACTATAAGAATTTGTTTTATTAAATAAATATCTGCGTCTTTGCCTCTTGGGAGTTCTGTCATATTGTTGATCAAACAATCCATTTATGTATTGTGCATTCCCATAGGCTACTTACTTTATGCATATAATTTGTCTTCGGGGTATATAGATTTTGTAATGAAAATGTAAATAACATAGGATCTAGCTGACTGTCGGATTTCAGGGTAACTTTTTGTCCGTCAGGTCCATTTCAAGCACCCTTACTGCTGTTGTTTTTTTATTGTTTCTTAATTAAAACAACACGCATGTTTAAATGGCATTAATTTACTGGCCAAGCGTTCAGAATTCTTTCGGACCTGTTCCGGAGCAGTTGGTCAATCGCTTAAGCTAAAATGTGGATTTTAGTTGGAATTTTTCTTGGGCTATCGAGCAGCACTGCGACTAACATCTATGATACTGCACCGAATCTATCAGAGAGCAGTTGCCGCATTGCCAGAACTGAAGCAGCGCAAATCACCTACATCTACCGCTGCGTTACCTGCGTTGCTACTAGTTCTGTTTCCTATTTGGAGTTGGAGCAGGATCTGCAYCTTTGCATTGGAGCTCAGTTGCCCAGTTGCATGCGAAGCCTGGAGGCTCATGAAATTGAACCGATTCGAGAGACAAATAGCATGAATATATTCCTGATTCCTGCAGGCGACGGAGGTCAACCTYTGGTCCGTCGTATCGTGGACATGCTGAATCCTCGACAGCAACGCCGACATTTCCATAAATATCTRTTCGTGTGGCCCGAGGCAAGTGAGGATCAGCTAAGAGAACTATTCGAAGGCTGTTGGAGTAAGCAGTTGCTCTTTGGTTTGGCCATTACCGGACCAGAGACTGTCTATGATTTCCAACCGTTTGGTGAACAAGGCTTGCAGCTGASAAAGTTGATCTYCGGMWCTGATGTCTACTACGTTGATAARTTGAAAAATTTGAATGGATTTGAATTGAGATTTTCGATGTTCCGTAATCCCTTACGAGCACTGCCCTTGGACCCAGTTGAGAGCAAAGGCTACAGGGCTACTGATGGAAGTGTGGCGCGACTTATAGCGAAAAAACTAAATGCTACAGCCAAATATGTTACGCCTAGGGATAATGAAGCTTATGGACGTTGCCTGCCCAATGGCAGTTTCACGGGTGTTGTAAAGGATCTGATGAATGGTGAGACTCATATTGGATTGAACATGCGATTCGTGCTAGAATGCATTTCGCCGTACGTGGAGCATTTATATCCCCACAATCGTGTCGTCATCTGCTTAGTGGTTCCTGCAGCGAGAATGCAACCAGAGTACCTCATTTTTGTGACTGCCTTTCAGAGGACTGTTTGGCACGTGTTGCTGGCCAACTTCCTGATTTTTCTTGTACTCTTAAGTGTCTTATACCATTTAATATGGAAAATCATCGGAGAGACTGGTTGCCGTTGGTACGATGCTTGTGAAATGCTTTTCAAGACGCATTTGGGCCAACCTGTAGATCGTTTTTCGGGAGCTAGTTCTCTACGGATGTTCCTCATGGGATGGATCCTATTCAGCTATGTGTTAACGACAATATATTTTGGCAAACTGGAAAGTAGCTTTGTGCAGCCAAGTTTTGAGGAGGAGGTAGACACTCTGGACCAATTGGTGCCACTTGGTTTGAGAGTACACGGAGTAATAACAATGTTTAATGCTGTGAACTTGTCACTCTCGAAGAAACATTTCGATCTGCTCACTAAAAGTCACCGTGTGCATCCTCTTAAGGATTCCGATCACTTCTATGAGCTTTCTATCAGTCGCCGGAACAAGAAGGCAGCCTTCATTATGCGTATTGATAAAGCCAAAGAGTTCCTGGCCGTCACCTATAACTCTGAGGTTGGACGTCCCACCTACCATATTGTCAAGCAGTATCTGCGATCTTTGCCGGGCACCTATATCCTACCGATGGGCTCTCCGTTTCGTTACAAGTTTCAGAGTATGCTGAGTGCTTTCTATGAGCATGGCTTCTTCGAGTATTGGCGGCAAATGGATGTGCTGCAACGGAGCCGGACTTCAGGTCAATCTGAGGAGTTTTTCGAGCAATTGGATGAACAGACGGGCATGGACACGGAAGACGTAGCAGCAGATACCGAAGAATGGCGTAAAAAACGTGTTGTGCTCACTTTAGATATTTTGCAAGGCGCATTTTATTTATGGTTCATTGGAATTCTCTTGAGCATTGTAGGATTCGTACTGGAGCAGGGATATTTCCATTGGCGGCGGACCAATTTAGTATATAAACTCTAGAAACTAGATAATGAGTCCTCCTTATAGTTTAAGAATTTATTGTCATTCACACATTTAGAAACAATTGACAACAATTTGGAATTTTTCATTCAAAATTAAACAACAAAATTAAAAGACACTACGCACAGCGCCCGAACTGATTTTACTCTGTTGGACATCAGCTGTTGAACCAAGTTCCCGTATCGTGATTTCCCATGTGTTTTCTTGTACCATTGTAGCCAACTATAGAGCTGACATCCCATATCTATTTAGGTCTTCGGCTTGGTAGCTTGCCTCCCGATCCCACTCAAAATGGAGAGATCAGGTGGGAGTGACTTGAAGGCGAAGAAATCCAAACAGGCTGTACGCCAGAAAAAGTCGGATGCGGCAAGTCAGAAGACTAGCGAAATCAGCATAAAGAAAACTGCCCAAACCGGATTCTATAATCAAGACAGCGATGATGATACGCTTGGGTTGGAGGAAATGCTTAAGAACGACTTTAGCCTGATCGTGAGCGTGACTCCCAAGCCAGAGGATGCATTTTGTACCAAGTCGTCAGAGTATCAGCTGGCCTCGCATTGGTACAAGAAAATACTCGGCATGAATAGCTACACACTTGACGAATTGCGCTTGCGGCAGGCTTACATGAGTCGCTTGAGCGTATGCCTGCATAAGAAGCGTCTGTCCGGGGTCTTCACTGAAGTGCCCGGCCTGAAATTGGGCTGGGTTGACTTCACAGAGAAGGCCGACAATTATATATGCTGTTCGGGAGCGATGGCCAATTCGGCTGCTTGGCAGAATGTGTCATCAATGATGCAGCAACAGCAACAATTGGTAAGATCAGCTGGCAACTGTTGCGGACAGGGAACCAAATCGGGCCAGTGTTGCTCCCGCTCTCTCGGTGGCACCAACTCGCGAAAGCCGCCACAAAAGCCCGCACACAAAGTCACATGCAAATTGAAGCCGAAGCTTGTGCCCCGCCATATGGGCAAGTCGAAGGACTCGGTGGCTAGTCAGCCAGACAGTGCCGATGAGCTGGCAGTACCCAGTTCCAGTGGTCATCGGGAGCACTGGCCCATCGATGAGGAGGCGCGCACGGATATGAAATATCTGTTAGAAGCGATCAAGAACGAGTTGCAAAGCCAGGGTAATAGCGAACCGGATGACTATCTGGAACTGGAGCTGACGCGCTATCGTGAATTCTATGCACTCCATCGGCAGACTAAAGCCGACCGGAAGGCCATTACGGCTGCGAAGGATCCACAGAAGGAGCGAATCTTCATGCTGCTCAACATGCAAAAGGATTTGGTCAAGTTGTTGTCTGAATGAAAAATTCAAGCCATAGGTTTTTTATCTTGTATGTTAGTCTAGCTGAACAATAAACTTTATGTGTTAGATGACAACAAAATGGAAAATGTGGTCGAAAGTTTGCTATACAAAGGGAGGAGGGATGAGGGAAGAGGGATACTTCCTTTGAGTATGAGAAGGGTTTCTGTATATACAGAAAAGTTAGGATAGATGAGCAGAGAAACGTGAAAATGGACACAGCTCGTCATTCCATTATAAATGATTCTGCCTTTGGGTTTAGAGAGAATCTGTAATATATGTATATAATAAGAGAAATACAGACAAATGGAAATAGGATAGATACAGAGGTTGTAGTTCCTTTATTAGGGATACTCCCATTGGGTCAAAAAAAGGGTCATATTATATATCAGATTCTTGCTTCGTCTCCTTGCTGATTTTAATTAATTTTTGCGTTTATTCTTCATTGCAGGTCAAAAATCTGTGGATGAACCAACAGTAGTTCAACAGCAGTCGCAACAGCATCAATATTCCAGCTCCAACTCCGTGAACGGATCTCCACAGCGTGTGGCCAACAAGCGCAGCAGCATCACCGTAAATATGCCAGCCGCAGGACTGGGTCAGCGACCGCCTAGCATCATTTCGACAGCCAGCCAGGATGAAAGCGTCGGGGTGGACGAAGGCAAAGATCAAGGGCTCAAGGCGAAGCTGCAGTCTCCTGGTGATGACAGCCAGGAGCAGCCAGACAGTCTTAACTATGTGGACGTGGGCTATCGTCTCAATCCCGATGGCAGCGAGTCGCGTGAGGTATTCAGCTCAGAGGCGGATCTGTATGTGACGGCTAAGGTGAGCGATATGCAGCGCAAGTTCCATGGCGCCAACGGATTCGTCCAGGAATCCAGCACAGTCTATGCGATTATCGTGCCGGACCAGCAGCAGCAGCAGCAGGCAGAGCCACCAATCGCCACAGCTCCCCGAGCTCTGTTGCAGTCGCCGACGACAAGCGTGGATGGATCGCCGTTACATCGTGGAGTCTTTAATTCACCGCCAGTGGGCGTGGTGTCGCCCATCAGGCGCAGCAGTGGTCAGCAGCAATGTGAGCTAAATGGTGGAGGAAATGATGAAACATGCAGCACTAAAACCCCTCCCCAATTGTCACCAGTCAAGGGTATAGCGCCCATTGCCTCCATCGATCCTCACGAGGAAGAACTCAACGTGGAGGACGAAGAGGACGAGCAGCTGGCCGTTGAATACGTAGATGTGCTCAACGGGGAAGAGGACGAGGAGGAGCAGGCACCAGTTTTGCCCGAACGCTGTGCGCCGGCACTTGAGCTTCAAGACCTGGAGTATGCGGACACCAGCGCTGGCGAGGATGAAGAGGACATGCTCCAGCACTTGAATGACAATCTCATTGACGAGATGATCAAGGTGCATATAACACCTGCAGCAGATCCAGCTCCAGCTCCAGTTTCTGCCCCAGTTGCTGCTCCTGCCGCGGCCATTCCGCGCGATGATAGCTTGCCAGATGCCATGACAGCCGCTGAGGCCGAACGACTGTTGAGTTCGAGGTAAGATATCGCTGCTCTATAGACTCTAATGCATGATGCTCGTTTGCATAGCGATAAGAGCATATTAGTTTGTGTTTGTGCTCGTACTTCTATAATCATGCTAGTGCATAAGTAAAAATTTATCTATCATAGTCTTATGATTAATCAAACATAGTTGTGAGAGAGTATTATGGCATGAAAGCATGTTGTCCGACCTAATTAATTTAATATATTTATATTCATTTTTTACATATTAAGTAAGTACAACGTTTCAATAAAATATATATAACTTAATATATTTATATTCATTTTAATATTAGTTTATTTTAATTCATTTTCTCTTAGTCAAACTCTTTTCAGCATCTCATTCTCATAGTCAGCATGTAAGCAGTTAGTACAAGACTATTTTAATCATGCTCTTTTCTTCTCATAGTCTTCTATTTTTTTGCTCCTTCTTCCTGATTCATTCACTCGCCACTTGTTTACTTATTTAGCTTTGCTTCCTTACTTTTCTGGCTTTGTTTGTTTCTGCCAGAGCGAACTTTATAGTAAATGTCTTTAGGTGGCAACTGAGCACACCTTCAACCTTTTACCCAGAGCTGAAGCATCTTCCTGGCAACCGAGCACACCGACCTTTACCCCTTTTTATTATCCATAATCTCAATGCTCTAGCAATGCATCATTTTGTTTGCACTCTGCTGTTGCCTCGTGTTCATTAGTCATAGACAGGTGTGACCCACAATGAGGCTGGACACCAAGGCCTTGCCAATCTGCCCTCAGTTGATTTTCGGGCTTATTTATTTGACTTTGTGGCCTGGCTGGGCTTCTGCTGCTGCAATACGTACATTGACTTATTTATGAGTGAGTGAGTCGCTGCCTTTGGAAGAGACTTTTATATATGTATATGTTTTCAAAAGAATATTCAAAATCTGATATCAACATATTTAGTATAGAGTCTAAATATAGAATTGCCTTAGAATGAATTCTTACCGTTTGGCTACTCTTTCCATGTCAATTAGTCAGCCATTCCAGTCAAATATTTATTGCTGTTCCCAAGCAAAATAATTCGCCAAAATTTAAAATATAAATAAAAGCATTCAAAGGCTGGACTCATCGAGCATTGAGTTGTGTTTATAGTGTTCCCAGTTGTGGAGTGTTTTTCTAGCAACTCAGCTCACTCGTGGCGTCTTCTCTAGGTTGCCTTCCTCTCATTTCGTTTTGTGTGCATTGGAACTCAAGCAACTCAGCAAGAAAAGGACTCAGCGTAATTCACTCACGCCCAAGAGAGAGTGTGAGAGAGTGGGATAGACAGACCGCACATTGAGCACAGTTGGATGTGTACTTCGCTGTTGAGTGTGTTTCTGTTCTCACTCTTTCACTCTATGTAGCTTTCGGCCGCTCTCGGTCTCTCGTCGGCTGCCTTCGTTCGCTCATTTCGCTTTCGGTTTGCAGTGGCCGTGCAGTGTGCAGCGACTGCTGCTGCTGCTCTGCTTCAGTTTCCGTTGCTCTTGTTGTTGTTGCTGGAATTCAGTGAAAGCAATCACATGGCCGCCATTCGTTCGCCTGTCGCATTGCTGTTGCATGGCTCCTGCAGCTGCTTGAAAACTGTTGTGGCAATTGGCATTTTGTATCGTTTTTCAGCGTTGTTTTAATTAACATTTTGTGCATGAGCGAAAAAGGCGTCCAAACAAAAAAGGCAAAAAAAAAAAAAAAAAAAATAAAAAAAAAATGAAAAGAAAATAAAGTTGAACTTAATCAGTGCGGAGCAAGGTTTAATTTAACCGTTGTGTATACGCCTCATATTACAATATTTCCATGACCTTTTAATTTGCGATAAAACCATCAAAAATAAAGTGTTTAAAGCAATTGCTTGGGGTATGTGCAAAAATAAAAAATAATGAAAACTTTTTGTGCTTATATTAAATTTTTGTTAATTTTTTTTTACGGTCAACCATTTCAATGTCATCCTTGCTNTGTTGTTGTTGCTGGAATTCAGTGAAAGCAATCACATGGCCGCCATTCGTTCGCCTGTCGCATTGCTGTTGCATGGCTCCTGCAGCTGCTTGAAAACTGTTGTGGCAATTGGCATTTTGTATCGTTTTTCAGCGTTGTTTTAATTAACATTTTGTGCATGCACCCACTCATCAGCCAAACAAGTTTCCCAAAAAAAAAAAAAAAAAAAAAAAAAAAAAAAAATGAACAGCAAATAAAGTTGAACTTAATCGGTGCGGAGCAAGGTTTAATTAAAACGTTGTGTATACGCCTCATATTACAATATTTCCATGACCTTTTAATTTGCGATAAAACCATCAAAAATAAAGTGTTTAAAGCAATTGCTTGGGGTATGTGCAAAAATAAAAAATAATGAAAACTTTTTGTGCTTATATTAAATTTTTGTTAATTTTTTTTTACGGTCAACCATTTCAATGTCATCCTTGCTATACATTTTTGCTGCTTAATATTTAATTGTTAACATCTGTTTGGTGTTTTGGCAGTTTTTAAATGTGTTTCTAGCTTGAGCATGACTCAGCCAGAAATCCAATATTTTATATTTTGAGCAGTCGCTTGACCACGTTGCGTGCTAAGTTGGCTTTTATTAAGACTTATTGTATTCCTTTTGGTAAGCAACTAAATTTGGATTTATATGTTACTGTAAACTTCAACTAAGGCAGCTTGACAACTGTTTACAATATAGAACTTGAAGTTCTTATAATATCAACTTTACTTTGCTTATTCATGGAATATACTATATAAACGCTTGCCATTCCTAATTAGTTATTTTGTCAAGTAAAGCTTTCGTCTAAAAATATTTCTTTAAAAACTGTTGTCAAAAGAAAAACAAATCTGCAATAATTGTTTGCCTTTCGTAGTTCCCTTTTCTGCTCTTCTTTATTTAAATATCTCCTTTGATGAATGAACAAAATTTCTCTTCAAAGTTTGTTTTAGAAACTTTGCAATTTTTCATTGCTTTCAACATGTTTTCAAATTCATTAAACATATATTTAGTTAACATTTAATAATAAGCTAGACTAACTCCTCTCATTATATATAGATCCATTCAAGCCTTTACCTCTGCTTTCCGGCATTTGCGACTCTCTTGTTGCACACTTTGGAGTTATTTTTGCATATTCTGTTTTTGTGTCATATCCAAACAGCGTCATCGTTCACCTTGACTCAGTTTGGGTGATTGGGTCTGTGCGAGTGCCAAAATTCAGGGCAGAGAACTCACGTTTATCAAAATGGCATTGAAGAGAGCAGACAAGTCCGTTTAATTTACCGGCTGGCCATTAATAAAGGGCAGCTAGACTGACTGTTTTCCTGGTATTGGCCAACACCCGAACACCTGAACAGTTCACAAATGGCTAAACATTAATTCAATTATAATTAAGCAACAACATTGCCTGCGTGTCGGGCCGTCGCTATGACGTCATCGTGTGTAGAGTCAACCTTGCAAATGCACTCAAAAAAGAAAGAAAGAAAAGAACAAAAAGCCACTCAATAGTGACA